TTGAAAGAAGGTGCACTAAAGAGTATATCAGAATGCACCAAAGCAGATAATTCTTTAGCAGATGATTTGCTTGCTGCTAATGGTGATAAAACGTGGGCTCTAAACCCACAACTTTCCTTCGTACCAACGATAATCATTAATGGAGTAAGTATTTCAATGATTATTATATAGAGTTATATGATTATACATAAAGTTACATTTTATATAGAAATATCATATATATATATATATATATATATATATATATATACATATGTATGTATATATGTCTTAATTTTATATCATATAAATTTTTTCAATAGGTCTGGTCAGGAGAAAATCAAAAAGCCGCATTACACAATTTCACAAATACAATTTGCGCTTTTTTGACAGAGGATGAACAACGTTTAGTTTGTCCAACGTTGTAAGATAAAAGAAAAATCGACAGAAATACTTGCATAAAGGTAAGTTTTCATTTATAGTAAAGAAAAAAAAAAAAAAAAGAACAAAGAGAAAAAAAAGAAGAAGAATAAAGAAAAAAAAAGAAAAATAAATCATCATTGTAACTCATAATATTATATATGGATATTATGTACTTTTATTTCTCGTGAAATATATAAATATACAAGTACATCTATGTACAAAAATATATACGATTTTATTCGAATATTTTTATATATATATATATATTATATAAATAATGTATATATATATATAATATATATATAACGTAAAACTATAAATGTCATTATTATTATTATTATTATTATTATTATTATTATTATTATTATTATTATTATTATTATTATTATTATTATTATTATTATTATTATTATTATTATTAATAATATCATTGTTACTATTATTATTATAGAAAAGAAAACAGAAAGAAAAATAATAATAATAAGATGAAATAAGTCTTTAGTAAATGCAGCACGTTGATCGTGATTGTGCAAATGTGTTTTTCGCCTTCATATAATAATAATAATAATCAAAAAAAAAAAGAATAGAAAAAATATTTTATATATACATACATATATATACATACATATATATATATATATATATATATATATATATATATATATATATACACAATTAAATATAAAAATACAATATTCAACGTTAAACATCGATGAAAACAGCATCGTTGAGATTACTCAATTCAAGAAACTCTTGCTCGATGTCAGAACCGAGTTCTTGAAAATCAGGAACATCGTCGTTCGTACCATATCCTATAAATAAAATTATAATCATATTAAACATTATACGATACGTACATATATATATATATATATATATATATATATATATATATATTTAGTTAGTGAAACTTTTTAGTTAAGTCGATAAATTAAATCTTCGATCTATTATTTTCTTTTTTGTTCTTTCTTCTGTTTTTTTTTTTTTTTTTTTTTTTTTTTACTAAGAAGAAAGGACAAAAAGAAAAAGAGAGAAAGTGAGTGAGCGAGCGAGCGAGCGAGCGAGCGAGAGAGAGAGAGAGAGAGAGAGAAAGCTTTGAATTCTAAAAGTGCACGCGTGTGTTACACGTGTCCATTATGTGGACCGTTTTGGCGCGTGCGTGAGCGTACGTTCGTAGGCATGGACAAAAAAGTGAAGAATATTATTTTAAGACTCGGTGTGGGGTACACAAGCATAAAGCGGCAAACCTCCTCTGAGATTAAATATGAAAGACCGAGCATAAGCGTGCTGCCACTGTCATTGTCATCGTCATCCTCGTCGTTGTCCTCGTCATCTTCTTCGTTGTTGTCTTCGTCGTTGTCGTCTTCGTCGTCTTCGTTGTCTTCGTCGATGTCGTCGTCGTCGTTGTGTACGTGTTAGTTTTTACCAATCAAAAGCGAATCACGAGCACGTGCCATTAACGATTAACATTCTCACAAACATGATTTTACAACATATACACGTATATATACACACACATATGTATGTATGTATATATGCGTGTATCATATAAATCAATTAATTTATATTAAAAGAAATGAACACAAAAAATCTTACCAGTATTACAATCGTTTTGAGAATTATTTATGTCTTCGATAAGGAAACGTTTCATGTATTCTATCGGAACATATTCTTGATGATTATTATCAAACGGAACGGTAGGGATCCTTTCACTTTCGTATAAATTATTATAAAGAAAATCAATATCATCTTCCCTACATGATTCCGAATTTTTTAATGATCTATAATTTGTTGAAAGGGGACTGTTCGCCTGTCGAATGTGATGTAACGTATTAGTTATATCCTTACGGTGTTCCGTTATTACGTTTGACGAATTATTATAACCGATAGACATTTTGTTATCTAAGGTAGTTGTTGGTAATGTCATTAACGACGTTGTTGGTTCCGCATGATTTTTTGCATGTTTTCTTAAACTTGATGGATCCGTGTAACGTTTACCACAGCCGCTTACTTGACAAGCGTAAGGTTTCTGTAATGATTTTTATTAAATATTATTATGGTTAAAATCAATTTATATATTTTTATAAGATAACTTAATTTTTAACTACTAAGAAGATACCATATATACCATATATTACTATGAAGATATTATAATATATAATATACTACCATGAAGCCATCATAATATACTATTATGAAGATATCATAATATATAATATACTACTATGAAGATACTATAATATATGATATACTACTATGAAGATACCATATATATATATATACACATAAGTATTATTGAAAAAATTTACTATATACTTTTTCTTTCTAAGATCAATATTTATTTTGGGACTTAAGTTTCAGATATCGTTGACAGGTACCGTATCATAATGAGTCCTTTGGTGTTTAGCTCGATCGCTACTATTGCTGAAAGCTTTAGTGCAACCACGATGCTGACACGCGTAAGGTTTCTCTCCGGTATGCGATCTCTGATGTATCTTCAAATTTTCAAGCCGTGAAAATGCCTTTTTACAACCAGCAAACTGTAAAAAAAGAAATTCTCTAAGATTTGGCAAGTATAAATATGTATATATTTCTATTGATAAATATTTGAAATGATGAAATAATATTAAAGATCGTAAACATGTTTAAATCTATATATAAACTTACAGGGCATTTATTTGGCTTCTCACCGCTATGTACTCGCATATGTATGAGTAATTTGTATCTAGCATTAAATGGTCTAGCACGAGGACATCCTTGCCAAAGACAAGCAAATTCGTCTTGTCCCGTTGTTGGAGCACTCGTTTGTCCTAAGAAAGAACTATCCCCGTCTCTCTCCTTTTCCTTATCTCTATCTCTTTGTACACGTCGTCCGTGTCCATGAGCATTGGAAGAGGAAGATTCTACGTGCCGCCTCTCTATATGTCTTACGAGACTTTCTTGTTCCGTAAATGCACTTCCGCAATCAATCCATCGACATTGATACGTCGATATAAAATTATTTTCTTCTATCGTGGGACGATCTATTAAATGTTAAATTAATACGTAAGTGATTATTAAGAAAAATCATTTGAATTAAATAACAAGTGTGTGTGTGTGTGTGTGTGTGCATATGTGTGTGTGTGAGAGAGAGAGAGAGAGAGAGAGAGAGAGAGAGATAGAGATAGAGATAAAAATGTATTTACTAGGATTAATTGGAATTTAAAATTAAACCAAAACTCACCGTAGGATCTATCACAAACATCGTTCTTCGTTGTTACGTCAGATCTTGGGACACGTTGATCGGCAAGAAGTAATCCTTCGTTTTGAGGTAATACCACTTGATTCCCAAGATTATCTTTAACCACATTTTCCTGATGAAAATTCATCGTGGACAATTGTGTACTCGACTGTGAAGATACCAGATGACCAACGGCATAACAAAGACCATCAACATTTTGAAACGGATCCTGTAATTCTTCCAAATACGTTGACGCCGAAGACGAAGAAGAATCAACATTGGCAAGCAAAGAAGTAGGATCGCCTCTGATCAAACTCAAATCAAATTCATTTGTAGCTATTTGCATGGCGCTACCAAGCTCTTGAAATTCTTCGTTCTGCGAACTGATTGAAGTTACTAGATTTGTACTCTCTTGATAATCCTGATATCCTTGATAATCGGGATATACGAAAGCTCGCGAAAATGAGAAGGCTGTTCCTACCGAAGGCAATCTTTGCCGTCCATTAGTTTTGTCATCGTAATAATCACCATTTCTCGTAATCTCGTTACTCCAATTGTTTACTTCGTTGGTATTATTGCTCAATGTGTCAGGTCGTTGATCGGGATATTGTATAGCTACCGTAAGTTCTTCCCAATCATTTTTTTTACAAGAATTTGAAGATGTCGATAAAAATGGCGAGGACGATCCAATATTATCCACTTGCGAGGAATGATGATGATTAGTCCAACAAGATTCTCGTGTACTACCAACGACGTTCATTGTCGGTATCAAACGAGATGATGAATCAAGAAGATATTCTTCTTGATCGATCCCGTTTGTTGAATAAACACGTTGCCTTACGTTCTCCCCGTTCTTGTCGACAACGAGGTAATCCTCGAGGTGCATATCTGCTTAAATTCTTTTCTTTTCTTTCGTTTTTTTTTTTCCTTCTTTTTTTTCTTTTTTTCAAGATCTCACAGCGCCAACAACGACAATACATTCGATCATATCACGCGCAAAGTATTTCGTAATATGCATATGATTTTGTAATGTACAGGGTCTCTTTGGTATGTAGTTGTCGTCGATAGAGCGAAGAGAGATTAGAGTACACTTGCGCGCCGCTTTAGAACAACTTTTGTATTTAATATCGCCGCTATTTTGCGCCACTGTCGAGTTTAAACTAAAGATAAATGGAAATTTTGCGACCTCCTTTAAACATTTGCTTTACTATTCTTTTCTTTTGATCAAAGAAAAATGCGTAATCACTTGAGATGATTTCTATCTATTTATCTCTCTTTCTCTCTGTCTCTCTCTCTCTTTCTCTTCCTCTCTCACTTCTCTCTTTCTATCACTGTACTTGAATGCCTCTGTAACTTCTTCTTTATTCCCTTTTGCGTAGTAACGATATAAATTTTTTACCGAACACAAAACGAAATAAAACGAAGAAGGACAAAGAAAAATGAAACAAGTAAAAGAAAACAATAAAGAAAAATATATGACGGGAAACGAGGAAAAGATGATGCGAATGATAAATTAAAAAGAAAAAAAGAAAAAGGGGATGATAGCTCGAGCAAGCGTTGGCCGAGTTTGACCCTGAATTGATAAGAATGATCAGCTTAACGTTTCTCGAGTATTTCTACTCGTTCTCGCGTCTGCAAGAAGACTATCAAGGACCGAACGAGAAGATACTACCGCATTTTTACACCGAACTTAAAGTATCCCCCCTCCACTATTCTTCTCTCTCTCTCTCTCTTTCTTTTTCTCTCTCTTCCTTCGGGATCTCTTCTTCTTCTTCTTCTTCTTCTTCTTCCCCGCTTATAAAGACGATAAGGAAGGAACCCTCGAGAAGGATACGACGACTACCGCAAGAAGAAAACCTAAGCACCGCCCACTCGCGTGGCTGTAGCTAGGCTTATGCGAGATGTGGGGATCCTATATGGTGCAACACGTTCTATGCACTTGTTTCTCTCTCTCTCTCTCTCTCTCCCTCTTTCCCTTAACCCTCTCTATTACTTGAATATTACTTTTCCCCAAAGTCACACTTTATTTTATATTTAATTAATAATAATATTAAATGAAATTTCAAATATATATTATATTAATATCAAGGTATTAAAGATTTTAATAGATTTTAATTTACCTCAATATTATCCTGAAAAATATTTTTTAGTTCGATTACTATTATTATTATTATTATTATTATTATTATTATTATTATTATTATTATTATATAATTAATAATAATATTTTTGTAATAATATAAAATTAATATAATATATATTATAGTTATATTAATTTTATTTCAATTATTTTTTTATTTATAATATTTTAATATCCAAATATTTTTAATATTTATAAATCGTATTTAAATAATCTGTGTGCGTGGATGTATTTTAATATTCGAGTATTTCTTAAATACTTAAAAGAATTATATCAGGTATAAGTAATACTATAATTCAAATTATATAATTTTTTTTTTCTTAAATGCAAAAACATGAAATTAGAAATTTATTAAATCGGATGACTTCTGTATAAATCTAATATTATGAATAAAGTTTATAATGAAGAAAGAAAAACAAAAAGAAAAGCGAAGAAAGTAAAATACAATATTTGTAAGTTATAAAAATTATATATAAAAAAAAAAAAAAAGAAAAAAAGGAAAGAAAAAAATATCATCGAAGTCGATTAACTTCGATATTAATATTAATAAAAATTTTGTAAATAAATCGATGGTTTTAAATAATTTTCATACTAAATCACACGTATGCGGGACACATATATAGAAATTAAACGAGTAACATAAAAAGTGTCAACGATCGAGAAGAATTTTTAGTAAAAAGGAGACTTTAATAGTTCACATACATGGTCGACTAGATGACTAGATGTGCCTTGGATGAACTAATTTCAAGAAAATAGAGAAGTCCAAGAAAAAGAGAAAGAGAAAAAGAGAGAAAGAGAAAAAGAGAGAAAGAGGGGGAAGAAAGAGAGAGAGAGAGAAAGAAAGAGAGAGAGAGAGAGAGAGAGAGAGAGAGAGAGAGAAAGAAAGGGAGGAATGAAAAGAGGGTGCTCGGGACGATCTTTCGTCGCTCGAGCCCCGAGAATCGGGTGTAGAGCAAAAAAATGTCAAACCAGCTGCCGCACACGCGTCGCTTATTAACAACAGCTTCTTCGCGCGCGCACATGAGGACATGTCGTTCACTCTTCTCGCTTATGTTACAGCCTACTATTATTTCATGGACATCATCCCTCTTTATCTCTCTCTCTCTCTCTCTCTTTCTCTATCTCTATCTACAATGATTTTTGTATTAATACAAATTATTATTATTATTACATATATATATATATACACATTAACATTTTTCTTTTAATACTATAAGTATCAGAGAGACAAAATTAATAATGTCATAATAATTATACTAATGAATGATATAGTAAACGAATATAAAAGTATTTGTAAATATATTTGATTGCTTTTAGAAAATCAATTGTTATTAAAATATATATATAATAATTTAATAACACAATAGATTATCTAAAAGCTATTCAATATTCCTTATATATGTATATATGTATCATTGTAAAACACAAAAGTCGATTATCGTCCCTATACATAAGAAGGACATACCCTGCACCCAAGCATACATCTTAGAGTTGCATCTTACAGTTGCTTTATACGTCATATTACGGGTAGATAAGTGATAGAGTGGCACATATGGTCTGCCAGCCCTCTATGCTTACATTATATACATATACTATGCTCGCTCTCGGCCGTACTTTTTTGTCAAGGCACCTGTCAACTTCGTCCAGAGCATAGTCACCGCATGTGTACGGTCCCTTCTTAAGTAAACATACTAAAAAAAAAGGATTCTGATCTTGCAACGCATACGGACGCAATAACTTAGGAAATGCATTGAAAAAAGAAAAAAAAAAAAAAGAAAAAAAAAGAAATAATACTAAAAGAAAAAAAAATAAATAAATAAAAATAACAGATATATATATATATATATATATATATATGTAAACGTATAAGATTATTTAATCGCTTTGCAAAGGATTATTATGCATAACGACGACTATGACGAGTTTTAAAGAAAAGAAAGAAAGAATAAAAGAAAAAAAGAAAAAATTAAAATAAAATTGAAATTATTTATTGTATTTTTTCTTTGGACTTATTCTTCTTTCATATACTTTCTTTCTGTTTTCTTTTCTTTTTTTTCGTTTCCTTTTTTTTTTTTTTTTTTTTTTTTTTTATTTTTTCTTTGGTAATCTCGTTGTATGCAATATTATTGTATTAAGTTGAAGAAAAAAAAATAAAAAAAATAAAAAAAATAAAAATAAAAAAAAAAGAAAAAAAAAGAAGAAGAAGAAGATATTATTTATTATTTATTTTTGAGATTACATCACTGTATAAAGAGTAGGAATACACCCATAAATCGGATGACACATAGTACGTATTGGAAATAGCTAGGGATGCATAACATTCTCTCGTGGTATATAGCATTCGGTCAAGCAACGTAAAAATAGAAAGGCGTGCGCTCTGCATGTGACTTCGTATAATTAGGTACCGAACTCGAGAACTTGTATGTCCTATACGTTACTCACGTAGCATGTCGGAGACCCTAACATTGGACCACGTTTTCTTTTCTTTTTTTTTCTTTTCTCTCTCTCTCTCTCTCTCTGTCTCTCTCTCCAACATAATGACAAGTCAAAGACCGATAGAAAAATTATGTAATTTCCATTCCATACTTGTGTATATATATCTCGGAAATAAGACAAGAAAATACGGATATCGAAATTGAAGTTACATTTTTTTTTTTTTTTTTTTTTTTTTTTTTTTTTTTTTTTTTTTTTTTTTTTTTTTTTTTTTTTAATGAAATTCTCTATGAAATTTTGTAGTCGAACAATAACGTAAAAAGGATATTTAAATCCAATCATCATTGTCGTTATAAGAGTGGGAGATAGGAAAATGTTGTATACGTCCGCTACTCCAAGCAATAGTCAAACAGATTATTAAATCCGTGGAAGGATATTTTTTATAAAAATTAATACAATTTGGCACTTCTCCGGGTAAACCTTGAACGAAACAAAATGGTTTTACTTCGACCGCTCTTCCTAGATTTCTTACTTTCGTTTGTATTAAAACGATCAATGGACTCTTCTGTAAAATCAAAAAATGAAAATAATTAATTTGAAAATAATCGATTGAAGGAATGATTTTGTTATATAGATTTTATTGAAATTCTTACCTGAAAGAGGACAGCAAGATATTTACCAGAAGGATCCCATTCCATTGCTATTATTCGACCACCGACTGTAACAGAATCTTCATTTATATCCGACGTGAAACGGACTTCAGCTAAATTTATTATAGGATATGCTACATTGATTTCATCGAATGATGATTTAGTATCAAAAATATTCTCTTGAAGTGGTAATGAAAATATAATAGGATCATCGCTCGACGCAAATATCAATGCTAAATCTGGTCCAAAACAAGCAGCAGCAATACGTCCGGATGGTACAGTCCATCTTTCTGCATACCAAGGTGTTGGAGTACCAGATCGCCAAACTCTGAATATAAAAGAATTATAAAAAGATACGTTCAACTATATGAATATATTTAATATGAAATGTATAATTATTATTCATTGATGACACTATCTACCTAAAAATGTTCCTACACGTGGCAGAAAATAAACGACTTCCACAAAAAGACCAATGTACAAAACATAATCCACCACCACCTACTCGCTTTAATGGTACACCTTCCTTTTTGGAAACATCCCATACGATCATATTAGAATCATTAGGTGAACAAGAGACCAATATATCACCCTAAGATAAATAAATAATAAAATCATTTAATATGATAGATTTATATGATAGATTTAATAAAATTTTATATAAAAATACCTGTGGATGCCAGGCCACACTGGTAACAGGAGTATGATTTCTTCGCTTTAATACCACAGCATGGCTTAACATATTACTAGCAGCACCTAGTTCAATCGTCCATATTAAAACACCTATATGACATGCAGCAGCTAATACTCTTCCAGCATAAGGACTCCAACTTAATTGATAAATGAATTTTTGGGCACTATGTCGTAATATTGGTATTCCTGATATACCCTCTGAAAATATACGTATTCTGTCGTCTCTGGTTGCAACAGCTAAACGGGTGCAATGTGGATGCCATGAAATGCAACGTATCTAAAAATAAGTAAATGTCAAAAATGTCTTGTATAACAATATATATATATATATATATATATATATATATATATACATATACTCATACAATGGAGGTATTCCAATCACGTGTAGAGACTATATCAGCAATGGATCCTGATCCAATGGTTGGTAAAACTTCTTTTTGAAAAATACCTTTCTCCATAGCGTCTAAAGCCCATGTGAGCCTATTAATCAAAATATTAAGATCGTTAAGATACATTAAATTCAATCATAATAATGTAATAAGATTAAAATACATTTATATCCATACTTTACAGCTATCCAATGTATAGCTTTAGTTACATGTTCAGAATCCGCAGATGCAGCAAAACGTAAAGCTTCTGTAAATCCTTTTTCCCTCCATATGCTTATAATTCTTTTAAATATACTGTCTTGAATGGGTTGGAATAAATAACCATTGTTGATAGTGCGAATACATTCACGCGCGCCAAGCATATCACTGGTAATAGAAATTGCTGGATAGTTACGTAGATATTCGTAAAAAGGGTGCATTTCATCATGCATTTCTATATGATCGGTGTAACCCATAATACCTCCACAAATACCAGCAGAGGCCAGTTTATTAAACTCTGGAGATTGGAATTTATTTAAAGACAATATCATCATCTTGAATAATTCTTGTCACTGTACGACATTAAGGGATATAACCTATAAACCATGAAATAAAATCAAATCCTTAATTAATTTCCTGCGATTTTTATAAAGGATAGAATCATAATAATTTACAAAATATAATTTTTGAGGTTAACTTACTTACTTTTGTCAATTAAATGATTACTTTAAATAAAGTCATAGAAATTGAGTAGAACGTTCGAACCTGAATGCATCATTTTCTAAAAATAACAATATAATTGATATAACTTTGTGATTTAAACTAACAATATTTTAATTCAACATTTATAAATGGCATATTTTTAAACAGTCAATTAGATATCTTGCACACATGTTCAACGGCGTCTGCTACAAACGTAATAAATTAACAAACACTTCCTCTAGATATAATTAAATAGTTAATTAATCTAGAATCGTTAATTTTCGTTTTCATATTTCACTTGTATCCAAATTTATTAGCCTTACCTTAATCTCTACGATTAAAATATCTTGTAATAACTTAACAATCAAGAAATACGAGAATATCCATGTGATGTTTTTAAAATACCGGGAATTAGTGAAGATGGCGCTGTCTTGTTGACGACATCATTACAGTAACCATAAAAGAGCATGCGCGAATGAGAAAAGATTTAAATTAAATATTACAAATAGAGTGAACACTTCCATAAATTCTTAATCAATTCTTCCATATAATTTTTTGCATTATCTAGTATTTCATTAGAACATCAATAAAAATTTTTATCTCACGCTAATAAAAATAGCGCTAAATTTGAATTTATTCATGCGATTGATTCATATCGCACGAATAAATGTTATATATATATATATATATATATATATATATATATATATATTAACAAATAAAAAAGAATACAAGTAAAAAAAAAAGATTTGTTAATTTTGTATTTTCATATTTCAATGTAAATTCAAATAGATTAAGAAGTATCGATTGGTTAGAATATCGATAGATGATACTGTTGAAAACATAAGCCCAATGTCGGTTTCACTGGATTATGGTCTGTAATCCTTTAAGATTTGAATGGATTTTAAATATGATATGTGATCGGATAGCTCAAACATTATTTTTCATGAAAAATTATTACGACGAAAGATCCGAGGCGCGGCAGTGTACGAACGATGGTGCGCATTCTCGTTGATGGCCGGCGTCGTCGACAACGACGACGATTCAAGAGAACACATGAAAGAATCAAAATCGAAGGAAAAGAAGAATAAAAATAAATATACTCGTTATGTCAACGAAGTAGTGTCCTTTATTTCAATGAAGAAAAATAAAAAGGGGAAAAAGAAAAAAGAGAAAGTAGAAAATTACAAGAATGAGTAGAGGTACAAATGTATGATAGGCAGAGAGAGAGAGAGAGAGAGAGAGAGAGATCGAGTGAGATAGGTTGAGGTAATGGAGTGGGGAGGAAGAGCATCGATAGAAACGGGTGGGGAGATGCCGAGAAGGGGCTTAGCGGGGAGCGCAGTGTGCGATCGCCGTTCGAGCGGTTAAGATTATGTTTAGAGTTTGTTTCGCGAGACGTCTCGGTGTTACTCGCGCTTGAGTATAATTGATAACGTACGTTCCTTCTTTTTTTCTTCCCCCCTTTCTTTTTTCTTCTTTTCTCTTTCTATTTCTCTATATCGAATAACCTATCTAGGATAAAAAAAAAAAAAGAAGGGATATAAACGCGAAGGGTTGACGAGATTAATATAATTACCGGATGATATGCTACCAAATAGAAGATAGTGGTGTGTTCAGGCGATCCACCAAGATGATTATCATCTCGATGACACTTTTAACTTAAAGTGTAAGACCGAAATAAAAATAACGAAAGAAAGAGAAAAAGAGAAAAAGAGAAGGAGAGGGGGAGAGAAAGAGAGAGAAAGAGAGAAAATAAGACAATATAACAAAGATCGAAGAAAAACGAAAGGAAAGGAGGCTTAGAAGACCGTCGTCACGGTCTTCCTAAGAAATGGGCAAGAAGGGCTCCAAGCGGAAGACCCGATGGAGAACCCTGAGCATTGGTGGTGAGTCTCCATTTCTTCTCTTTCTCATTGTCATTCCCAGACAATGATTGGGCCCTGACGCAACCCCTCCGCGTATTAATTCCTCGTGTCTTGTTCGAGATTCTCTTTACACCCCTTCTTGTATATGGGAACGTGAATACGAGCGCGCGCGCGCGCGCGTTCTCTCTCTCTCACTCACCTTTCTCCATATTTCGCAAATCACCCGACGTCCGACCGGGCCATCGATCGCTCTCGACTAGATATTGCCTCGCCTTCGTGATACTCTATCTTCCTTTCTGTAATCTCTATTTTTCTTTCCTTCTTTCTTTTCTATTTCATTTATTCACTTTAGAATTTCTTATTTGCCATAAATAACGAGACGTCGCATTTCTCATTCTCAATATACCCTTTGTTCGTCGTCGTTCGTCAATGTCAAATTTTCCCTTCGAAAAATACAAAAAAAAAGAAGAAGAAAAAGGAAAAACTATCAATTAGAACTTTTCCATTTGATATAATAATACGATTACGTATCGATAATATCGAAAAGTTTATATAAATACGCGAGATATATAGAATATTGAGAGTAAAATATGGTCGAGAAATAGTCAATTCATAGACTCGACGTCTCGCTAAATGATTTTATTAACATCGCAAAAGTATACGGTTCATGTAATAAGGGGTAAAGGTCGAGGTAACTAAGATGATATATTTTTAATGAAAATATATAGTCATATTTCCTTTTATTTTGTATTTTTATTTTATTTATTTATTTATTTGTTCGTTTATTCATCCTACAATTAATTTCCGCAATTTATATATACATTTTTTACATTTTCATTTTGAGGTTATGATGAAGTTATATGCAAGTTAAAAAATCAAATATCTTTACATATTTATGTATTTACATATGGATAATATATAAGTCCGTGTATGTGTGTGTATGTGTATGTGTGTGTGTATACACGTTATGTATACATATAGTGATAGAGAATGTGTGGGAGAAGATGGGGATGGAAAAAGAGAAATAGTGTCACTGGGACATGTTAAAACGATTTCTTTGAGTCTCGAATTTAACGAGGCTCCAAAATCTATAATAACTTTTGAAAAAGAAAGAAAGAAAGAGAGAGCTAGAGATAGAAATAGAAGAGAGAGAAAGAGAAAGAGAGAGAGAGAGAGAGAAAAATCAAAACATATTTACGTCCTTGAAGGATCTGTTCGTTTGTATGTTGCTGCGTTATACGCAGAAATATAAACATACCCTTAATGGATTCGTCTGTAGAAACGAACTTAGGATCGTCAGAAACGTTCGACTGCGAGACCACCTCGCGACAGCATACATCGATCCATGTAACACCCTCTCTTTTGCGCTTCTTTCTACCTGCTCTGTTAGCTTGAGAAAATATCTACGTAACCTAAAAAAAGAAAAAAATTCTCTTGTTAGGTCCTTCTTTTCATACACAAAATGGGGTGTGTGTGTTTGTGTGTGTGTGTATATATGCATGTATGTATGTATGTATGTATATATGCATGTATGTATGTATGTATGTATGTATGTATGTATGTATGTATGTATGTATACAAAATATACACTCACATATTTTCTTAGATTAAATTCTAATCTAAAATCTAAGTTTTCTCATTAAAAAATAATCTTCAGGAAGTCGTTTATAAGGGTCGTGCGATGGTAAATCGTGAGGGAAAAAAAAGGAAAAATCGACTTTCGTCGACTATGAAATATTCACGTACCTTGAAAAAATGTTGAATGTGATATTAATTTTAGCCAATAATAATGAGCACGATGTAAGTGAGCCAACAACACAGGGTTCATTAGAAAATTCACTTCAATTATGAAATGAATATATAAGCAGAAGAAGTGGAAAGAAAGTTTTTTTTTATTTTATTTAATTTTATTAATATTAATCGAATTTCGAACTTCTCGAACATCTTCCAAATACATACTTTTATATTTTATATATATATATATATATATATATATATATATATATATATTTATATATTTCTTATAATCTATCTTATGTATAATTTCTGCCCACGCACACGCACACACACACACACACACAGACGCACATACACACACACATATATATATATATGATGTAGAAATAAGATTCTACAGAGTTAGTAGTTCAGTCAGCAAAATTACGATTGGATCAAAAGGATTGAGAAAAAGGGGTATGACAAAGGAGAAAAATTAAAAAGAAAAAAAAAAAAGGAAAAAGAAAGAATAAAAAAATAAAAGAGAAAGAAGAAAGAGAAGAAAGGAATACGGAATTCCATCCACGCGAGCATCAAAGCGCGGTGGTCGTTCTTGCAAGTTGCACGTGCTGCAGATCGTAGACCTTCCTCGAGCGTCGAATGATGCGCTCTCGTGTGTTACGTAATCCTAACCAACGCTGCCGGTAATAACGCACAACTTTAAGTACGTTACGTTACATGCGGGGCGTCACCAACTCTTTTTCCCTCTCTCTCTTTCTTTCTCTCTTTTTCTATATAACCTAACTCCTCTTATTACGTATATAGATATATGTTAGAAAAAGAAAAAAAAAGAAAAAAAGAAAAGAAAAGAAAAGAAAAATAATTACACAAAAATATTATTTCAATCATTGATAAGCGTAATTTCTTATAATTCGAAAAATAAATTAAAAAGGGAAAGATTTAAAAAAGGAAAAAAAAAAGAAAAAAAAAAGAAAATATTCAAGTCCAAGCTCGGAACGTGTGTATGTAATGAACTGCGTAATACCTTTTGGGCATGCGTGAAAGCGATATAATGTACGAGAGAGAGAGAGAGAGAGAGAGAGAGAGAGAGAGAGAGAGAGAGAGAGAGAGAGAGAGAGAGAGAGAGTTATATATTAGAGAGAGAGAGAGAGAGAGTTATATATTAGAGAGAGAGAGAGAGAGAGAGTTATATATTAGAGAGAGATGGAGAGATACTTATATACATTTATCTAATGGAATTGTTCATATCGTTGATTGATAATTAAGAAATTTTTTTAATATCTTTAAAGATAATATTTTTTTAAATGATTAGTAGGTGCGATAAGTAAATACATATGTACATGCATACATACATGTATACGTGCATACATATGTGTATATATATATATATATATATATATATGCAAATGTAGAAAGTATTTTTTTATTTGATCGTTCGAAAAATATTCAGACGAATGTACTTTGAGTTTGAGTTATGAATAGCACGTGAGTGGCCACGAGGAACTCGAGTCACATGTTATCCCGCGTCGCCACACAGAGACGAGTTCACTTTTCGAATGATTCGTATGTCACGAGTCGTTTATATCTAAACTATTTCTTTTGATTTTTTTCTCTATTTTTCTTCTCTTTCTCTCTCTCTCTCTCTCTCTTTCTCTCTCTCTCTCTCTCTCTCTCTTTCTCTCTTTCTTTTTTCTTTCTATTGCTTTTTCTCTCTCTCTCTCTCTCTCTCTCTCTCTCTTTCTAACCGTCAAAATCATTACAAATTTTACAAAATATGTAACTACTGCGATATATTTTGTCGTAATATTGGAAAGTTACCAGGACTACGTTATCTTTTAGTTAGACTTTGCTTTAACATTGACAAATGTCAGATTTTCGTTGATTTTTATCAAGGATCAAAACGTATTTCGTTTTTTATACATGTAAACGATACTTGACCAAAAGTTTTTCGAATAATATTATCGATGAACTATTGAACTTTATTATCATGAATTTTGTATACATAATGGGCCAACATTTCCTAGATAGGTCAAAAAAAATATTCTTATATAGGTCATTTTAATATTGAATTACTACTCTTTTTTGAGGATTTTTTTTAGACTTATTTTATCTTTTTTTTTTTTCGTTAGATTGCAAAGTAAGTTTTTCGTGTAGTTTTATAATATTATATAATTGAAATTCAATTGAATTTTTTTGATTATTAAAAACATTGTTTTATACCTTTTGGCTTTTCTAACCTTACCTTGGAAGGTTAAGGAACTCTTGAGGGTATGCCAAATTTAACATCGATTGATTTCACACTGCTATTGAGACATATATATATATATATATATATATATATATATATATATCTTATGTTTCTCAATACTATTAATATTAATCGTTCTAACTTAAAAATTATACATCCAAGTTTATATCTCAGAGACACATTTTCGCGCATTTGATGATTATATAATACAAAAAACATGACCTATAAATCAATGACTAAACACTAGAGGATGAAAATATCTTTATGTTGAAGAAAATAATAATAATAATACATATTATAATATTTATTTCTTGTACTCAACAAAATCGATTCTTATGATTATTATAATATACAACAGTTATATATTTATACTAATATACATTTATATTTATCTAAACGATCGGATCAAATATTTCATTGAAGTCATTGCAATGATGGCCTATACAAAACTAGTGTTTGTTGGTAGTGTGTAACAAACAGTTACTCAACGACCCAATAATCAAAATATTTTGTTAGTTTGCCAAAGTAATATACATACTATATTTCACGTTTATAATTCATCGATTGATGTGATCTAGGATTTTTTCTTTTTTTTTTCTAATATTCATAAAATATTTACATTAGCATAGAGATTATTTGAAAAAAAAAAATTACCTATATCATAATATAGTTCATTGAAATACGAGATAAAAATCAAAATAGAAAGAAAAAAAAACGAAAAGAAAGAAAAAAGATTCAAGGAAATTATGTAGATACGAATAAAAGAAATTTCATATACGATTTTAGATTTATATGTAATGAAAATGGCGGCGAAGGTGAGAATGAATTCGAAACTAAGAATTTAAACGATAGATAAATAGATAGGTAGACAGAAAGCTGGTCCAATGTTTTCGACAATGTACCTAGACCATTCTATAATAGTCCGACGTTCCAAATCACTTATGCCTCGGCTATCCTTAACATTTGTCATCGTTCAGTACGATGGCAATAGTTAGACGCCAGCCATTCTTATTTTGGTGATACGAATTTAAAAAAA